TATACTTGATTTCAGATTTTGTGATATAAAAAACAGGGAGCAGTGTAAAGAAAATATTTTTCAGTGTCAGTCTTTTTGTATCTTTTGTTAGTGTTTGGCACGTGGATATGTGCTGAACTTTATAATGAATTTACAACGCCAGAGTGCAAGTTTGTCACAAACTGTCCTTTGGACATTATCACACAAATGTCTGTTTGTTACCTTGTCTGTTTTTTGATGTGCATGTGTGTTTTTGTGTTTTGAAGGTGAAAAGTGTGTGTGGGGGGGGGGGGGGGGGGAGGGCGTTGCATGTTCCAGTGTAAACACGAGGACCAGAGGTCAATTGTGCCATCGCAACAAACTATTTAAATGTGTGTGATATTGTAAGAGCAGAGAGGCTCGACTGTCAAACCGAGGTGCATACACTAACACGTGTGCCTGCCACCCCCCTCAGAGGTGAGATGGAGAGCATTAGCCATATATGCACTGTCTGGCTGGAGAGGATGTTGGGGGGGGTGGGGGTGAGGTGCCAGAGAGGTTGCCGTGGTGAGAAAGTCTGCTCAGAGCAGCACACGCAATCTGTCAGGTGTTGCTGCACTGCTGCCATGATGAGGGCTCTTATCACCCCCCACCCCCAACACACACCTCATTCCCCAAGTTTCACCCACATGCGTCTGCCTCGAAGGGATCCTCGCTCATGCACAAATGTTCACTTACAAAAACAAACTTAGTGACAGACACACCTGCCTCCAGAGTGTGTGAGCTTAACCCCTCACACACACACGTGCACGCACATGCGTACACCACAGAACAACCGTCTGTATGCATCGTGCCCAACATATGAACTTTATTACAACTGCACAGACATGATCCTTACCGATGGGCAGCTAAGACCAGGTCTGGTTCCGTTCTGTTTGTCTGCATTCAAGTGTCCTGGATGAGCCCAGCAGCTATTTTTACAATCAATGATTTCACTTCCCCCGACAGGAACAACCAAAACATTTACTGATAAAACATGACTGAGATGTATTCACGCAACAGGTTGGCACATTATTTCTATTATTGCCATTTAGGAGAAGAGCATGTTAGTAGAAGATATGACACCAGAAGGCATACGGGTTGTTCTGGTTTGCTTCTGTATTCATTTGTCTGTCTGTTAGCAAAATACCTTATGAAACACTGGGCAAATGTTGTTTTTAACTTTCATTAAATAATACGACTGGTCATCTACAAGTGAAGAACTGTTGGAGCCAACCTAACTATGGCCACCACAACCATCTGACCATACAAATCAGATAAATTACTACAGTTTAGTCAGTCCTTCAGATATTGAGCTAAAATTTAAAGTTGTAGTGGCTGAGTCCTTCACAACACATAATCTGAGCAGTAAGAGATCTCGCAAGAACTTGCAATGTTGCATTAAGCAAAACGTCTTTTTGTTCAAGCTCATGTGAGGCCCAGGCCTACCTTGCAAGAGATCTGTGATCTCAGTGGGATTTACTGTTTAAAAAAAAGGTTAATAAAATAATGATCATTTTAAAGTTTGAGCAACATAACTCATTCATTTCACATCATACGATGATCTTCGTTTAAAACAGGCAAGCGTGAATATGCTGGTGATGTGCACTCCTTCAAGGAATTATAAGTATTTAAGGTAAGTTGTTTTCATCGTTAGATTCTTGTCAAGATCATTTCTGTCCCCTGCACACTGACTTAAAACTGAAAAGAGGCAAAAATGTTAAAAAATAAATGGTTTTAAGAACATTACCTTCAGAACTTGTCAACTGATGGGAAACATATTTGGTTAGAATTATTAGATTAAAGATCAGACTAACTCAGAATTCAACATTTGAGCTTTTGAAATCTGATCATGACCTTTATCTCCATATAACTTTGTACAAAATTAATTGTTTAGGTTTCATTTTGACATTATCAGTTGTTGATTTTGGTAAGTATTGATTATTAGACTATTTCTAATAGGATAGCTGATGGAACAAAAAAAAAAAATGATGAAATGTTGGAGTGCCAACCCAGCTGCCACCCAAAACTCCAATTTGTGTTATAATCTGGAGGTAAAAATATGTAGAAAGTTAAGTGAGATCTTAAAAACTATTAACCCTAGAGCAACAAAATACTCTGATGGCCACGCACGGGAAATGCAACCCAGTTTGGGAGCTGACAGTTTGAGCTTAATGTAATTAAAATGTATCGAACTTGGCTGTGCTCTCTTTGTACACTTGAGCTGCAGCTCCTGCAGGAGTGACAGACACTCACGAGAAGCCTAAAGGCTCTTTCACTGTTCTTCTATGATCCACAGAGCAGAACAAGTTGGTGATTCTGCTTTTAATACATACACACGGAGACTGAGGAAGTGCTGGAGGGTCTGAGGAGTCCATAATCTTGATACTTTTAAATGTAGACTAAAGACCCAACTCGGTTTGCTCTGCCTTTTAATTAGGATAGATTAATAAAAAAAAATTCTCCACTGTAAAACACTTTGAATTGCATTTGATTTGTATTAAAGGTGCAATAGAAATAAAGCTTGACTGACAGAATTGTGGTTAACTAAAAAAAACTAAACTGTGGTTGTGTCAGAAACATTAAAAACATCAACATGGCAGGTTCCACATATAAGCCTGATTTGTGACTCATTTGAACTTTGATGGACGTTTCTACAGGGTGTGTGTCTGAACCACATAGCTCCTAACAGGGCTGGGATTATCCACTGTAGGCATCAAAACCCTGCTGTTGTGTGTCAAGAACTTTGCAGCTTTTGTAAATTTCCTCCACAACATATGTCACAACACCATCACCAATTGAGCGGCACATTTTCATGCAAAATTTGCACGCTTACTTATTTATTTATTTATTTTGCTGTCAGGAAGGAAAAATGTGAACAGAATAATTGTATATATGCATCGGTGCCATTAAAAATCTAATTACATGATTATGTAGTCTTTCAAAGTAATGAACGGAGCTAATCTAGTAGAGATGTTTGGAACATTGTGATTTGTTTTGTTGGAAATTTTTGCTCCAGAATATTTTGCTTGTGACATTCGATTACAGAAATTATTGTATGTTATGTGAACCTTGGACTGAATGTCATTCATAATAATCCACAGAGATGAGACACTTCCTGGTAAAACTGAAAAAGTCCTGATGGGGATTAAAAGGCTTCGGCCAACCGAAGCACAGGTTTGTAGGATAGAGAAAAATGAACCCTCTTTCAACTGTCCCTGTATAATTTGCACCCTGGTTATGAGTAAAAGCTTTTTAGATAGATTATGAGATTAAACACAGAGTTTTAAAGGTCAGCTTTTAAACAGTTTCATATTCATGAAGACAGAGAGAGAAATGATCAAGAATAAAAAGATTAACGAATGAGAATTATACAATAAAAGCTGCATGTCTGGAGAGGCAGAAAATTAACTAACAGACCATGAACAATAATTTATATTTCACAGATGTTTGATGTTGTTTACGTAAACACCAGTGCACATCACTACTGAGTTCACAGGCATTAACCAAGTCCAGCAGTTTCTCCTTCCTGGTATATGATTATTTCTTCTTGGGATCACCACAGTGAGTCATCCTCCTCCGTCTCAATCTGTCCTCTTTATCCTCTGTCCTCACTACATCTACCTCCATGTCCCCTCTAACTGCATCCATATCTCTCCTCTTGGTCTTTTTCCTGACAACTGCATTTCTAACAGCCTTCTATCAATAGGCCTATACCCACTGTCCCTCCTCTGGACATGTCCAAACCACTGTCCCTCCTCTGGACATGTCCAAACCATCTCAGTGTGGCCTCTCTAACTTTATCTCCCAGTTGTTCAACCTGTGCTGATGAGCTCATCCTTGTCTCTCCTAAGGAGAACTTCAACATCTTCATTTCTGACACTTCCAGTTCTGTCTCCTGTCTTTTTGTCCATGTCTCTGTCTCCAGACCATGTCTCTGACTCCAGACCATACAACATAGCTGGTCTCACCACTGTCTTGTAAACTTTTCCTTTGACCTTTGCTGACACCCTTTTGTCACAAATCACTCCTGAAACTTTTCTCCATCCACTCCATCCTGCCTGGACTCTCTTCTTCACCTCTTTACCACATTCCTGTTATATATTTATTCAAATATCAATATTACCAAACGTTATATTTAACACCCCATCACATTTTCATAAGCAGCTCAAGACAGTGGGGCTGAGATGGTGTAAAGGTAGAGCAGCCGACTTGGGACCAGAAAGTCACAGTTCAACTCCCAGCCATTCCCACATGTCGTGGTGTCCCTGACAAGACGCCCAATCCCTAACTGCTCCTCGGGCACTTACATAGCTGCCCACTGCTCCACCTGGGTGTATCTCACATGTGATGGGTTAAATGCAGAGAACTGACTTCATCATTGTACAGAAACATACACTGATGACAACAATAATGGCTACACCTCATTTTTTCTGTGTACAGTACCAGATGCATGTGAGTGGGATGTTTTCTGTGAAACTGTGTCGCCCTCTGGAGGCTATCAACAAACAAGCAGCAGTAACATTAAAGAGCTGCTACAAATTGTTCAAGGCACCAGCACAATGTACATTTGTGTTATTCTGTGTGGGCACTATTAGCTGAGAATGCTAAATAAATACATAAAAATACAAAACGCTGGTTGAGGTTAACTTCTGATTGATGCCATTTTAGACACAGTTTGAAAGCTTTTACAAGTTGACTCAGTGCTGTTTTCTCAAACACACATTTCTAGAAACAATAGGGGCCAGGCAAAACTTAACTTTCAAACGTCGTATCTGAAAAATATTTGCAGAGTGGAAGTTTTGATCAGATTGTAATTGCTCAGTAAATAAGGAGGAATTACATGTTTCTTGCTTTTGAGCTAAATGATTAACAATATGACATTTGACACTAATTGACATGACACACAGTGAGCACAGGCTTAGGTCAAACAGCATGAAGATGCGCCCTCAGGAACGTCCCATTGTATGCATGTACGTGCACTGCGGCGCACAAACACCCACCTCTCCGATCTGAACGTGTGTTTCTTCCACAGACAGCGAGTAGGACTGAATGATCTCCTTCATTTGGAGAATGTGGTTTTCTTCAATGTCTTGGAATTTCTGGAAAACGGATTGAAAATAGTTATGATGCAGCAACAAACTGGCCTCATAAAATCAGATTAACTAAATCACTGTCATTGTCAACTAACAGATGTCAAAACAAAAAAATGTGGAAAAATGAAGCCAAGAAAACGCGCGCGCACACACACACACACACACACACACACACACACACACACAAGCCCTTTCATAACATGCCAGTCATGCTCATGGTATGTAAAAAATCAGATCCTTTCTAGTTTGAAGCAGAATTGAAAGCTGGTAAAGGCTCTGTGCCCTCACAGTAAAATTACAAGAACAGAGACAATCATTCATTACAGTTTGCACATTACTTTGGAATTTAACCTTCAAAAATCACAAAAGCCAAGAGCTTCTGATCAATTGTATTGATTCACAGATCAGCATCAGTGTGACCACTTCTAAAAGAGGCGTTTGACAGTTGCTGCTTCATCTCTCCACACAACGACAAGGCAGGAAGACATCAGCAATGACTTTTGTGAAGCAACTGTTGCTGCCCACCAATCTGAGAATGGTTCAAATGATTCACAAGTGGAAAAAGTTTCAAAAAGCTGCCAGTGTCCCTAAAAGTGGATGTTAAAGCAAATTCACCCTGAGGTCAGACTGTGCAATGCTCAGAGAAATTATCAAATAAAATGGAGCTCTAGTTCAAACTCTACTAGATTCAGTAAGCAGGTTAAAGGTTAAGGTTTATGACAGAACCCTAAAAATAACAGTGAAAAAGTAGGACTTGTTCGGAAGAAATAAAAGGAGCTGGAAGTCTTCTCTGTAAAGAGAACACTGCAGCAGGACTTCATCTGAACACAACCACAAGACTTCTGGAACAATGAATGCCCTTTGGACAGATGAGACCAAAGTATGTATGTTTACCTGTAATGCACAGCAGCATATTTAGAGAGAACAGTGAATCTTAACCAAAACCTGATACTAATGTTTAAACACGGTGGTGGAGGGCTGGTGCTTTGGGCACCTTACAGTCACTGAGTCGACCATGAACTTCTCTGATGAAAGGATTTGAGAGTCAAATGTGAGAACATCTGTCTGACAGCTGGTTTGGACCTAAAGGCTCCCACAGACTCATCTGGACCTCAGTCCGTGTGAAAACTGTGCACACTGTCCGCAGACGGTTGAGACTTTAAACTTGAACGTCCACCCTGAGCGGCTGCAGGCCAGCGCAGCAGGAAAGGGGCGTTTACCTTCGGGACAAATTGAGGTTGCCGATTGGTCATTTGCTGACACGCCTACTCGATTGATTGACAGGTCAGGGAAAAAAAGAGAGCTGGCAGCAAGTGGCAGCAGTGTTCTGTTTATATGTTGTTAATAAAAAGTTCTAAAAAATAAAAAGGAGCGCTGGCCCTGCAGCCCACACATCTGACTGGCCCACCAGGAAATCTCCAGACCCTCCCGCAGCCACGCTGGACCTGATTTTAATTCGCTCGTGACAAATTCCTTCATTTTTCACAATTTCAGTCATGGCGTCAACGGAGGAGGAACTTGCCTCTTGGAAAAAAACAAAGAACAGGCCATTAAACCAGATCAGGGATGAAGAAGGGAAATTTAATACATTGGTGTCACATACAAAACAGTCCGTCACCGGGCAGTTTATTGTGTGACACCAAGTACGCGTATGTAAAAATGTATCTTTGCACGGACATGCCCTGCAGGCGTCCGCTTCAGAGTCTAATCCGGTATGCACGGACCTCCGCGGACTGACGTACGCCCGAGTCTGTGGGAGCCTTAACTGAGTCATGATGCAACAGAACAATGAACCCAAACACAGCAGCTAATCTACAAGAGAACCGCTGGAAAATAAAAGAATCAAGGTGCTGCAACGGTCCAGTCAAAGTCCAGAACATCAACCTGACTGCAACATTGTGGTGGGACCTGAAGAGAGCTGAGAAGAAACAAATCTCTTCAAACCTCAACAAACGGACACTGAAAGAAGAGCGGCACAAAATTGCTCCACATCTACATTCAGTTCTATGGAAAGCCACTACAGACAGGTTTGCTGCTAAAGGAGGCGCAACAAGCTGCTGGATCAGGGCCTGGACTTGGTTGTTCCACACACAGCTTGACCATTTTGGCATTATTTTTGTTGAATACATATTGGAATGAAGGAATTTGTTGTGTGTTTTTGGCACTTAAGGTTGAATATGAACTATTTTAAACATGAAACTAGATCAGTTAATATGCCCTAATGTGTAAAATTCTTGAACTAGGAGAGAGTGGACTTTCTTCTCATGATTTTACTTTAGTCTTTCAGCACACACACACACACACACACATTCAAAGAGAACACACATGAAGGAGCTCTACTGATGTCAGAGAGCACATATGTTTGGTGTTTATAATATACATTCATGTGTGGTGCGGGAGATGAGCCGTAGACTATGATCCCAGGGAAGCAGAGCTGCAATGCCTCTTTGTCTGAGGTGAAAACAACAACTAACTAGAACCAGCTCTGCTGCGGTACAGCAGGAGGTGGAGGCCAAATTCAACAGATCTGATTTTTATTTGGAGTTTATCTAATCAGCCCCTCAGATGGACCCAATCAGAGCGCTGCAGAATGATTCCGTTACAGAGGAAAAAACAATCTGGAGATGATACAGAGCGAAGAACGTAAAGCAGACGCAGAGCAGTCTAACTGATTACACAATAAAGTGTTGATAGCACAAAGGCAGACAATAAGCCGAGTTTTCCATTAAAGCACACAGAGGGAGATTTATGATACCTGTGCAGTTTCTGCCATCTTCTGTTCAAACTCAGACTTGGCTGTGGCATATTTCTCCACATATGATTTGTAGGTCTCTGTGGCTTTTTTGGCTTTCACTCCAGCCTGTAAAGTGTAAACAAACAGTTAAAGGACTACGTAACATGGTTTTAATGCAAACAATGACTTTCAAAGTTTTGAAAGTCTCCAGCAGTTGCTGGAGTAGCCTTACAGAACCTCACTGACCTACACAAGGCGAGGTCAGTGAACAAGGCCAGGCTGATTCTGGCAGATCCTGATCACCACTCCATGGTGAGATCAGGTGGCTTCCATCTGGACGCAGGTATCTGCTGCCCAGATGTAGAACAGACTGAAAAACTCATTCATCCCTGGAGTGATCAGGCTTCTCAACAAACAGTGATGAGCTCTGCACTGTTTTCTAATGTCTCAATTGGGGGTGCACCGATCACAGTTTTCTGGCCGATCACCCATCTCTAAAATGTCTGACCTGTCGATTCTGATTTAGTTTTATAATCACCACTGTCAGGTGTTATAAGGTCACAATGCACCTTCAATTTTCCAATATTATTTTATTGTAAAACATACCCTTGAACAATATCCTAGAAACAATACAAACTTGTTTTAACTGGCCATGAGGTAGTGCTCTGAAATATAAATGAAGTTCAGACAATTGTTGTTAAAACTAAAAAAATCGGTAAAATCAGTTTCTCATGCAAGTATCGGCCGATTTCCAATTTCCCAAAGTTAAGGAAATCGAATCGGGGCCGAAAAATCAGCCGGCCGATTTATTGGTGCACCCCTAGTCTCAATGTCTTGTGTAGTATGGATGATTTGTGTACCTACTGACTGTGAAGCAAACTGCCCCTCGGGGATAATAAAGATTCTTAAACTTGAACTTTCTATCTCCCTGGATCAGCAGAGAAACTGATCTCATCATCACCATCCATTGTTAAAGATTCTGTGGACACCAACCTTGAAACACTTCATCATACCTTTTTACCATAATGATGTGTGTGTGCATGTGTGCGTGTGTGTGTGTGTGTGTGTGCGTGCGTGTGTGCGTGCGCGCGCGTGTGTGCGTGTGTGTGTGTGCGTGTGTGTGTGTGTGTGTGTGTGTGTGTGCGTTTGTGTGCGTGTGTGTGTGTGTGCGTGTGCGGGTGTGTGTGCGTGTGTGTGCGTGTGTGTGTGTAAGAGTGACCTCCCACCTTGTCCACATCTCTCTGGGTGGCCCCCTCTTTGCGGAGACGCTCCTGCTCCACAGTTTTGGCGTTGTAGATCTCCTTGGACTTCTGAAGAGCCTGAGAGATGCTCTGAATGTTCTGCACAGCTTCCAGAGTTGGAGCCACTTCTTCCTTTGTCTGAAAGTACAAGTCGGGTTCACCAACTCGTTTACATGGGCCCAACAATCATTCCCTCAGGACTTGTCCTGGAACACTCTCATTTATTATACGAGTTTGGAAAAACAACAGATTCAAGTTGAGTGTAGACATGGGCTCTGCTAAAATACTCTTTTTGCTCTTTTGTTTAATTCACACACGAGGCACAGACCTTTAGCACGGCACAGAAGGAAGCAATTAAAGCTAAATAACAGCTACAAAAAATGTAAATAATCTGCTTTTGATCAAAACACAGTTCTAGTTTTCCAGCCATTCGTATCAGCTTTAAGAATTAAAGTAAAACAGTGCAAACATGGTGCAATGAATTACAATTACCGGTACATTTAATTTATCGGTCAGTGTGCAATCCTTTAGTTTTGTTTCTTTTTAGTAAATAACAATGCAGAAACATGGAACATGCAGAATAACAATAGGTGGTATCTCACAATGTCTGATGGGGACTAGGTGGTGAGAAAATATGTCTAAGTGAATTATCAGCTGCAGTCTCAGTAAACTCTGGGTGTTTGACCAGCAACCTGTGTGCCTGCATTTTGAGAGGTCCGTTTTTGAAAATCTTGTCCTATTTTAATGTGCACAGATTGTAAACCTGAATTCTTGGCCATGCACTATAATTCTGTTAGCATTAAAAATTGTTTTGGCTCATTGTCATGTTTTGAAGCTCAGACTGAAACAAATGTATGTGCACCAGTGTAGACAGTGATAAGAGTTCAGTCAGTCCTGCATCAGGACTCGGTGCAAAACTTTGAAGGAAGGAGAGCATCTTTCCTGACTTCTCAGAAGTCAATTGAAAACATTAACTTTTTTCCTTCTCAATCAGCTCTTTGTAAATTGAAAATTATCATGACATTTGCATTATTTTAATGGTATGTTGTTCAAAATGTGACGTTTCAACATACAAATCAACTGCTGGAACCAAAGAAACTAGAATTACTAATTAGAGTTATTGTTGCATTTTGTAGCTCAACTCGGCAACCAAAGCCCACATTTATTTATTCAGCAGCAGTACATTTAAAGAAGTGAAGACAGATTTGGACCAGTTTTGTAACAGTTGTTATTTATTATTAACATACTTTTTAGACCTGGACATTTACCTCAGATGATTTTTGTCAGAGCAGAATCCCCTACAGATGTTAAAACACAGCTTTAGTGATTTTGAGATCAGCTGGTGACACCTACGACAGCTTTGTGTCTATTTTGAGGGAAAAAAAACTTGTTCAAAACAAACATTGGAGCTTCATGCCTCTGAAACTTAGGCAAGGAAGATGAGAACTCTGCGTAAGTCAAGAGACATTCTGAAGACATTTGGGACTCCCTCATGAATACTGACAACTACTCAGAGACCAGTAAGCTAGGGCCTTAACAGCAAAGTCCATTCATTATCTTCCGCTTGTTCTGAAGTCAGGTCTCGGGGGCAGTAGCTTGAGTAGGGAGGTCCAGACATCTCTTTCCACAACCACCTCTTCCAGCTCATCTGGGAGGACTACAAGGAGTACCCAGGCCAACTGAGAGACATAGTCTCTCCAGCGTGTCCTGGGTCTTCCATGGGGTCTCCTCCCTTACGGACATGCCCGAAGCACCTCTAGGGAGACGCCCAGGGAGCATCCTTACCAGATACCCGAACCGCCTCAACTGGCTCCTCTCGATGTAGAGGAGCACCGCTATGAGTCTCTCCTGATAACTGAACTTCTCACCCTATCTCTAAGGGAGAGTCCAGCTACCCTGCGGAGGAAACTCATTTCAACTACCTGTATCCGCGATCTCATTCTTTTGGTCACTACCCAGAGCTTGTGACCATAGGTGAGGGTAGGAACGTAGAGTAACCAGTAAACAGAGAGTTTTGCCTTACAGCTCAGTTCTCTCTTCACCACAACAAACGGTACAGCGGCAGCAATACTGCAGATGCTGCACCAATCCGTCTTTCAATCTCACACTCCATTATTCACCCTCACTAGTGAACAAAACCCCAAGATACTTGAACTCCTCCACTTAAGGCAGAACCTCACCCTCGACCTGAAGAGAGCAATCCCTTTCCGGTTGAGGACCATGGCCTCAGATTTGGCATTGCTGATTCTCATCCCAGCCGCTTCACACTCGGCTGTGAACCGCTCCAGTGAGAGCTGAAGATCACGGCACAATGATGCCAACAGGACCACATCATCTGCAAAAAGCAGAGATGGAATCCTGAGGCCACCAAACCAGAATCTCTCTGCCCCCTGGCTGCACAGAGAAATTCTGTCCATAAAAGTTATGAACAGAATCAGTGACAATGGGCAGCCCTGGCGGAATCCAACTCCCACCCTGAAGGGGTCCGACTTACTTCCGGCAATGCGAACCAAACTCCTGGACCGAACAGCCTGTAACAACAAGCCCCCAATCCCATACTCACGGAGCACCCCCCCACAGAGTACCTTGAGGAACACGGTCGAATGCCTTCTCTATGTCCACAAAACACATGTAGACTGGATGGGCAAACTCCCATGACCCCTCAAGGACCCTAATGAGAGTAAAGAGCTGGTCCAGTGTTGCATGGCCAGGGTGGAATCCACATTGTTCCCCCTGGATCTGAGGTTCGACCAATGATCTGACTTGCTTCTCCAGTACCTCTGAATAGACCTTACCAGTAGGGCTTTAACAGACTACTCGAGTAATTGACAGGTCGATTCCTAGGACATCTATGGGAGATTTTAAATTTCACATTGAGTATTCGCAGTGACGTCATTGTGTCACGTGATCCGAACCGGGCTACTAGTAGAAGCTACCAAATGGATTCCTCCAAGCAGACGGATGGAGTAGAGCAGGCCCAGTCTTGGCAAACAGGTAGAAATGCATCAATAGTATGGAAATATTTCACTAAAGATGAATCTTCTGGCTCAACTACCGTAAGGAAACAGAAAATGAATCAACTTCCTGACTGTATGGAGCTCGTTGCGAACCGGTGTTATACCACATTCTGTGACCACCATATATTGTGACCATAGGGGGCGGTGTTGCATGCACTGTTGCAGGTCACAGAATATGGCGTAACACCAGGTCCAATCAACCGAACCAGAACCAGCTTCCTTCTGACCTTGTTCCACAAACTAAAAGCAAAAAAATATTAATCTCTAAACCTATAAAAAAACCTATAAACATATTACTCTCTAAAACTAAACCTAATGCGCACCACAGCTGGCGGGTGGTCATCCACCCCACTGTTTTTAGTTTCGTTTTTGATGAGCTGCACGTTATTTCTTTCACTTATGCAGCTTAAAAATAATAACTAATAGTTTTGGTTTTCTGTGACTTATTTGCAGTATGATAAATGGTAGGAGCATAATATACGCTCCCAATATTTTGTTGGTCTTTTTTTTTTGTAAATAATAAATTATGTTTTTTTGCGGTTTAATTTTTTTATTTATCTTTTCATCATGAAATCCTATGGCGTCATCAACTTCTCGAGTTCTGCTCGAGTTTTATTATGTTAATGTCGAGTTTAAAAATTATGTAGTCGTTCAAACCCTTACTTACCAGGGAGGCTAGGGAGAGTGATGCTCCGATAATTGGAGCACACCCTCCGGTTCCTCTTGAAGAGGAGAACCACCAACCCAGTCTGCCAATCCAGTGGCACTGTCCCCAATGTACACGTGATGTTACAAAGGCGTGTCAGCCAAGACAGCCCCACAACATCCAGAGCCTTAAGGAAATCAGGGTGAATCTCATCCACCCCGGGAGCACTGCTGCCGCATAGTTTTTTTTAACTACCTCTGTAACCTCAGCCACAGTTATGGACAGACCATCACTGAAGTCCCCCGACTCAGCTTCCTCCATAGAAGAAGTGCCAGTGGGATTGAGAAGGTCCGAGAAGTATTCCTTCTACCTCCCAACGACATCACTGGTTGAGGTCAACAGCACCCCACCTTCACTGAACACAGTGTTAGTAAAGTGCTGCTTTCTCCTCCTCAGCTGCCTGATGGTTTGCCAGAATCTCCTCGGAGCCGACCGAGAGTCTATATCCATATCAAACTCCTCCTACATCTGAGCTTTTGTCTCAGCAACAGCCAAGGCTGTGGACCACTTGGCCCTCCGGTACTCCTCAGCTGCCTCTGGAGTCCCACCAGCCAAAAAGGACTGAGAGGGCTCCTTCATTAACTGGACAACCTCTCTAACCTGGGGTGTCCACTACTGAGTTTCAGGAAGCAAACCACTGCAAGAAGCACCAACAACCTTGTGGCCACAGCTCAAGGCAGCCAATTCAACAGTTGAGTCACGAAACATGGCCCACTCGGACTCAATGTCCCCCGCCTCAGCTGGGATGCGGTTAAAGCTCTCCTGGAGGCGTGAGTTGAATATCTCTCTGACGGGTTCTTCTGCCAGGTGTTCCCAGCAAACTCTCACTACATGTTTGGGTCTAGGAGAATAAAAATAACCCTAGGTTTCTGTTTAGTACTATTGCTAGACTAATTAAAAGTCCCATTTCTGTTGAACCATGTACCCCTACAACTATAAGTAGTGATGACTTCATGAGATTCTTTATAAATAAAATTATTTCAATTAGAGAGAAAATTCAAACCATCCTTCCTTCTACTATCTCTAGTCCCCTGTCAAATGAGACAACTTTAAAAATTTCACTAGAGCCTGATTTATGTTTGGACAGTTTTTGTCCTGTTGAGCTCTGAATTGTCAAAAATAATAACCTCATCCAAACCATCCACATGTCTGCTAGATCCCATCCCAACCAGACTGTTTAAAGAGGTATTCCCCCTAATTAATGTCCACATTTTGGATCTACTTAATTTGTCTTTAATGGATGGTTATGTACCACAGAGCTTTAAGGTTGCTGTAATTTTTTCTCTCTCTCCCTGGACCTCAACAAACTCTTATCTGGAACTTTGTGGTTCTACCTGGTTCTGACAAATATCGCTGGGTGGTATTTCGCTGGTTTTCAGCTAGACTGGCCCTCGTGGTGTTTCCATAGGTGTGGG